CATCATTACACACACTCAAAACTCATTTATAAACACACCCAAAAAGTTGACTTTGGGGTTGATTTTAGGTGTGTTTCTATGTTTAAATAGTACTTGGGTTTTTTTTATAAATACATGTCTAAGATTGGGTTTATTTATAAATTTGTAAAAAAAATATGGATTTATGTGTAGCAAAAATATGGATTTATAGTGTCATATTTCCTTAAATATATTCGAAGATTTGAGTAATTTATGAAATCATTAAAATATTTAAATATTAACTAAATAATAATAATTAAAATATAATTATTAATTAAAGTAATTAATAAATACTAAGATCTTACCTAATTACATATATTAAACAAAAATAGTTGGTGAAAAAAGGTAAAGAAACTAATTTTCAAATAAAATAAAAAAAACCTCTCCCTAAGAATGATTTTGCCGGCAGAGACCTAAGCTGGCAAATATTTGCCGGATGAGATTTCTCTTTATGAATGTTGGCCGGTATAGGTCTATGATATTACTAATCAAAGTAATTAAAAAAAGCTAAGATATTACTTAATAACATATTATTAAACTAAAGAAGTTGGCAAAAAAACAAAAAAAAAGTAAAAAAAACTAGGGAGACTTTGGAAAAACACAAAGGAGAGAGAAATTTTGTAAAAGAAGCCAAAATGGACAAAATTGCCCTTATTTATTTTTGAATTTCTTAAGGAATCCTTTACATTTGCATGTCTTTGATTTGAAAGTTGAGAGATTTTTCTGTCTTTTTTAAAAAAGATTTGGCTTTTTCTAAAAGTGAAATTTTTTTTATTACTAAAACCTAAATTTACTAAAAAACTAATCCGGCAATATCAACTAAAGAAAGTAATGCCATATATAAATTTTGATACAATCACAAATCTAACCAGGCTTTGAATCAAATGTCATGGGGATATAATAGGAATTCAATAAAGGATTTCATTGATAAGATTAAAATGAAATGTTTTCAAGTCACAAAACACACCGTTTCATTAAAAGGATTTCATTCCCCAAATTCAAAACAGCGTCGTTTCATTTTGGTATTATCAGAACGAAAACCAGGGTGCAGTGGTCATCTTATTCACAAGAACTGCGCCTCAGGCAGCCTCAGTTGCAGCTGCAAGAGATTTTCCGGCGAGGGGAGGTGCAGCTGCACCTCCTTGAGCCTTAATAGGTCCGCCAGTAACAGCTTTGGTTTGCAGCAATGGGAACTAAGGGCAGCTTGTGTTTTGCAAACAGCATGGAGCCGCGGTAAAAGAGAGAAGCTTCAAAAGTCTCCCAGGTTGGCTAAATAGGGTAGTCTTTCAGCCACCGATCACCATGCTGTCTCAGAAACACAGCATAAGTAGGTATGGCTAATAAACTGTTAAAGCATTGATGTAATTCAGGCAGTGTTCGAAAAATCTGCCTAGGCGGAAGGACATTGCTGACCAAACTTGTTAAGCTACGGCTTCAATATTGTTATCAAGCCGTTTTGTTTCAGAGTGCCTGCTCATTTAACCAGCCAGTGTTTGAAAAATCGGCCTAGGCTACGTCTAGGCACTAGGCGGCCGCCTAGGCGGCTGCCCAGAGGGTTTTTATGGTGGCTGTTTTATTTCTCATGTTTTGATGATTTTAGATTCACATGTTAAGCTATGGCTTCAACATTGTTATCAAGGCATTTTGTTTCAGAGTGCCTTCTCATTTAACCAGCCAGTGTTTGAAAAATTGGCCTAGGCAGCCGCCCAGAGGGTTTTCATGGTGGCTCTTTTATTTCTCATGTTTTGATGATTTTAGATTCACAAGATAAGCTACGGCTTCAACATTATTATCAAGGCATTTTGTTTCAGACTGCCTGCTCATTTAGCCAGTCAGTGTTCCAAAAATGGGCCTAGACGACACCTAGGCGCTGGGCGCCCCCCTAGGCGGCCTGGGCGTGTCTGGGTGAGTCTGGGCGAGTCTGACTCAGAAAAATGAGATGATGATGATGCTATGTGTGTGAGAGAGAGACGAAGATTGAAGAAGGAAGACAGGTCACGGGTTATGTCTGAGCGAGAGAGAGGAGACAGCTCGGGTTAGACTTAGGGTTTGAGAAGGAAAATTTTGACATCTTGCGGCCAGCCTATACCTCGAAGAAGGATTGTTAAGAGTACTCTTTCCTGCTG